GACGAAAATCAAATTGAACAGGTGAAAAGAAATTGTGTTTCGTTAAATATGAAACTAATTCATAACAAATGAAACGTTCTAACACTTTACTGAGAATTGATAATACAGAAACGGGCCTATATTTATTAACGAATGCTTTTGGCCCTTTTTTATGAACCGGCACAACATCAGCGTGTTTCCACAGCAACGGATGAACGCCGTTTTCAATAGATAAAGAGAAAATATGATGAATAAGATCAATAAGTTCCATGACACATTCTTTTAATAAACGTACACTGATCTGATCTGATCCACATCCTATGTCGTCGCGCAAACGACTGATTGCTACAGATATTTGTTCTGTACTAGGTACAGACATTTGAAACACATCATTTATGAAAACTTTTGGTTTTAAACATGGTCCTGATATTGGACTAAAACACTCAGAAAAAAATTCATTAAATAAAACTGCCTTCATCGCATCATTTTGCGCTTGTTTATTTTCTAAAAAACTGTAGCCGGTAAATCTGAACTATTGTCTTTAACTTTATTTATTCCTTTCCAAAAATCTTCTGAGCTAGTAAACTTGTTCCACAGATTATCAAAATATTTTTTTTCTGCTTTTTCTTAGCTCGCTTATTGTGTTATTTCTAGCTAAATGAAGCTTATTTAAATTTGTTTCAGACTTATTACGCTTTATTTTCATAATTAACTTATCACGATACCGGCGAAAAATATAAAACTGCCTGCTAGGCTGAAAGAACATTTTCTGACGTGGTTTTACTATTTTCAACGGAACGTGTAAATCGATAGAACTGTTTTAAAGAACTCAAATATTTCTAAAGCTCTATCTACATTTTTAATATTTAAAAAATACTAGACTGGTATAGATGAGAGCGATAATCTCATGTTATTCCTGTTACAACTTTTATAATCTCGCGGCTTACGAACAGTAGAATGAGATGACACTGAAATAGATGGAAATTCACAAAGTATCACTTGATGATAAGATTTACCAATGGCATCGAAATAAGAAACTGTTGATGAAAGCCATATAGAAGGTCACCAGTTAGACAAATCTGTTTTAGATTCCAATTCGATATTTTGTGCAATTTGCATGCCAACATAAGTTTTTTCGCCGACAGAATAAATTACTTTATAAGGTACCGGCAATCCGAACTTCAAGTAAAAGCTTTTCTCTGATTAATTCATACATGGCTGGATAGAGCGCGATGAGCTCAGTAAGAAAAAGTGGTTCTTTAACTTCTAAAAAAACGTTTTACAGCCAAAAATTTGAAATACTTGAAAAATCCATTTTTTTCGATAAACCCTTTGTTTTCTAAAACTTCAAAGCTTTTTCAGCTCAGAGTTCTTTCTCACTTTTTACATTATATTTTTCGGATTCAGCATTAAAAACTGAATATAAAAACGATGTTTAATTGAATTCAACTCAAAATTTGATTGAGCCTGGCTTTGAGAATCAGACTATGAGTTCAACTTTCAGCTTTTTAGAGTTTTAGACTGTTAGACTTTTGTTGGACTTTTAGACTTTCCAATTTCTATAACCGAATTAGAATTTCGGCGTCTTCTTCTAATATTCCGCTTCGGAATTGATCTCAAGTAAAGATTTTTTTAGCACAATCTTTGATCGAGGTATTACACATGTGGCAAAAAGATCTGACCAAAAATAGAATGCAAAAAACATATCAAAAAAGTGACTACTGATAACAGCGAGTCGATTGCACAACTTCAATCGTTGTATAGTTTTACAGAATATAGATACAGAACAGTAAATTTAGTTTTGCAGTTAACTGCAAAGTTAAGTTTACATGTTCGAATCTCTATTCGTACAAAATTGATTTTGTGTTCTTCGATAGTTTTAGTTTAGCATACTATAATGGAATATTTTTCCGCTTGTATTCTGATAGAATAAAGCTTATACCATACCAAAACATCTCACCTTAATATGTATATTTTGGCCGGGAGAAGGGGTATGTGGGTGGAACAAACTGAGTGTCAAACACTAATAGGTAATAGTAAATCGCATTTTACGAAAAGATGACAAGAGCTAGCGACTTGCGACTTTTGTCAATAGATTTTGACGTTAAATGTGCAGATAATAATGTGAAAAAATAACAAGTAAAAGACTTACGTTTTGCACACTTTAGCAAAAGTGGGTAATGGAACAAAGGGTATTATATTACATTAGTTTTAAATAAAAAAATTTCTGAGCTGAGAAAAGTAGATTTTGCTGGGAAAACCTATGATTTGACAAAGGAATATTTGCGCTAATTTGTGCTAACACTGTTAACAGCTAATAGGTGAAATTTTCATCAAAATTGGAGCTTGGATGTGACTGGAGCACGCATTTTGCTGAACTCTCCTCTTCGGATAACTCGCTAGAAAAATGTTATATGCTTTTTTTCCAGCTTAGAAAGTCTAAAATTAGGAAGTCTTTTTAGCAATCGATAGAGAACTTGCCACTGATTCCGAATATGTGGTTATTTTTCTACAGGCTCACTTTGATTTTGAACATGATCCAGTTTTCCAAAGCACCATTATTTTCGATCCAGTTTTTCTTAATGATTTCCCACTAAGGTTGGCACTTAGAAAAAAGTTCCAATGGCAAAATGATAGAGCGTTTGCTGAAGTATATGATCTGCTATTCAAATTTCAAAAAATCTAACTTTCATTTTTTCACCTAATGTTCACGTTGTTGCCTACTGTGCTACGACATCAAGTATTATCAAACCTTGATGTACCTACTATGAAATCAGAAACAGTATAATAATATTTTTTTCAACTCGGATATAGAGAGTTTGCGGAGATCTCTATGTCTCATCAAAAGATGGTTGATAGTTATTCAGGAACAAACTCACAAATTCCTGAAGCATCTTCAAACGCCATTGAGTATAGTTCTTACATTCAAGCAGGTAATGGGATGTCGTCTCACAAGTACCGCAAGCGCAGGCTGGACTTAGGATCAGCTTACGAGCAAAAAGATCACTGTTCAACAGAGAAAATCCCATTCTCAACCTAGCAAAATTAATGTCGGTGTTTCGATCATTGTGTGATGGGATAAGAGGAGGGCAGAAGTCATCGGTCTTCGCCAGAATGCTACGAAATGTTTTGTGCTTTACAGAAGAGCGAAGTCCTGAATCAAGTCCATTCCACAACCTAATGGTGGCTGGTATAAATGTGTTCTCATAAACGTCTTGCTTGCGTATTTCAACTGATAACTTATTTTGGATAACGGAATGAGTAGTGCAGCAGTGTAAATTTTGATTAACAGGAATTAAAGTCATAAGAAAAGATGGAGCAAGATTTCTCATAATTTTATGAAAAAAGTGTAGTCTGTACTTTTCGAACAGCACGTGTATCGGGACCAACCTAAATCAGCCAAAACCTTATCTTTAGACGTACCTTTCATTGCTTCAGTTATCGCAAGACCAGCGTGATATTGCAATGTACCCAACCGTGTAGAATTTTTTTCAGTTGTTCCTGAGTAAATTACAGAAGCGTAAATTAAAGTAGTAAGAACAAGTGAGTTGTCAATCAATGTCTATGAAAACTTACGATTTCTAATTTATGGTCACCAATATACAATGATGATAAGACAGGTTGTGTATGGTGTGACGAAAAGAAAAACATTTGAACACATTTGCTGAAGTTGACTGGTAAAAGTCAGTCATTTGACCACTGTTGAATCAATTTTAAATCCTCATTCATCTGGTTAATAGCTCTAGGCATATTTCATATTTCTACCAAAACAGTTTCTGTTAGATAGAGACCAGAAGAGGAGTACCCTCTTCTACGACAGACTCTTGTAGAGAAATGTTTTCTGAACCTAATGAAACGGCTCAGAAGTCTGAGTGGAATTTAGTTTACACTTGAGGCGTTCTGTAACAATAAGGATTTAATCACGATTTATTTTCCCTTAAAACTGTAAGTAAACAAGTTTTCATAAAGCACTAGACCACCCCACACATATCACGCTCACGATACCAAACATTCTTAAGTCAACGATATGAATAAAATGGTTGACGTTTTGCAAGCATCCCGAAAGAAAGAAAACGTAATCCATCTTTATCTCCATCAATCATGCTCAATTTTCTAATATTCTTTAAATAAATGTTTCTTCTTCGTTACATTAGACTAACAACAAAAAGTTTAGTCATGGTTGAGCGATTAGTCAGCTTATACACGCACATAGTTACACTACTCATCTCTCTATTCCTCCTTTCTTACTTAAATACTTTGATCATAACACACTAGCAGATATCAGCAAACACGTAACCAAACATATCAAGGAAGAGCAATATTTCTACAATATTTTCATAATACAAATGGGTAATCGTCAAGAACGTCCACAGTTTCAGCAATGGGATTTATCACGATTGCAGCAAGTTACGGGCTTACCTCAAGAACAACTCTTACAGTTGTACAATGAGTTTAGACAATCAGCTGGTGCCGACGGTCTTATGGATCGTAATGAATTTAGAGCATTGAGAAATCGTATTAGTCCGCAACCGGGTGCTGGATTTCAACAACAACATTCAACTGATCAAATTTTTCGTGCATTTGATAGAGATAATTCTGGCTCATTAACCTTCGATGAGTTTGTAGCTGCAATAGTAATGCTCAATCAAAATGCTAGTCAAACACAAAAATGGAACTATATTATTGATCAGTATAATCCAGGTGGTATTGGGCACCAATATATTCAACCGCAGTATGCACAAAGTATATTTCATTCAGCTAATCAACTCTATGGTACAAATATCGATTACAATCAAGCGTGGAATCAGTTAGATCAACAAGGACAAGGCTATGTTACACGTGACGAACTAATAAATTACGTTAATCAACACATGGGAGGAGGAGGTTACGGTGGTCACAGTGGTGGTCATCACCACCATCACCAACAGCATCAGCAGTACCAATATTAAGATTGCAATTATTAAAGTTCAGTGTATCTACTATTACTAACACCGCAGTAGCTAGCCCATTTTTTATTACAGTTCTAACACTTAAACACTACAGACATAATTTAGCAAACGCCTAGTTCGTTTAGATATCAGCTCCCTACACATTTTTTACGTATGCTAATGAATTTATAATGGAATACGAATCTTCTTTTATGTAATTAACCAAAATATGATTAGCGTTGCTACGATAGGTTTCTGCAAATTACATAATAAATAGGCCACACGATACCTCAGGTTAGCTTCGTTTTGAACCAAATCTGATATCGGCAAAAGGTGTTTCTTTTCTGGAAAAGTTTATGTTGAACCGCAGAAATTAGAAAAAACTTTTCCTCAAAGTCACGTCAAGTCTGGTTAAATATTAGACAGAGCATAAAATTTTGATAGTGCTAATGGAGCGAGAGATAGTTTTTATAGCCTCTGAACGTCTGTTTCATGGTAAAAGATATGTAATTTAAACGAGAATCTCTTAATGGAAATGATTCGACTTGAAAAAGATTTTCAAGTCAAGTTACAGTCTAAAACATTTTCGACCAAGTCAGGTCTGAGGCATCTCTGACCTGGCTTGGCCAGCTCTGGTATGCTGTTCAGCATCACACAGTGGGCATCCAGATGGCATTTAGCAAAATGTCGAAAGTAGGCTTTTTCAAAATTCAAGTAGTGTGAAATATATTTCGGTGAACGGGCTATCTACTGGTAAAAAGTTTTTTGTCTCAAATGGCGATTTTTCGGAAAAAATGTATTAGTAAAAACACACTTGATTTAAGCATGTTTCACGGAGCAAATATTTTTTTGTAATATTAACCTAATGTTAGGCTATAAAATGTGTATATTAGGAATCCATGCAGTTTCAGCTATATATTCAAAAAAAAATTCCTTTCGCACTGAAGTCCGACGGCAGAAAAAGTGTTTTCCCAAACCTAATTGTTTCCGATACATGTGTACAGTATAATGAAATCGTGCAAGTTAGCGCAGGCACTCAATATTATGCCAAAATGTTCGTCAGCACCGTCCTAGATTACTGTACGTGCGCAAAAATGCGCATATTTCCCTAAGTCAAATTATAGGTTTCCCAAAAACCCTTCGATTTTTGAGGTATTTTGAGATTTTCTCGGCACAGAAACTGCTACCTTAAAAAGAAGATGATGTTTGGAATCAACATGAAAACCTGTATCAATGATGTAAGGCGCTCCAAATTCGAAGTTATAGCACTATTTTATTCTTGGCTTACATCATTCGACAGAGAATTTCACGCTGATCAAGAATATCTGGTTTCTAACCTTCTCAGTGCACATTATCAGGGAAAAACATTCAAAAAAGTTGAAGGTTCTCTTTTTTCGAAAAATCCCTAACTATTTTTGAAAACTGAATAGTTTGGTTCCACCTCATTTCGAAGCCATGAAACTATATTTTTCTTATTCAGCGTTGAAAACTGTATTTCAAGGTTCAACGCCAAAAAATATTTTCTGGACACGAAATGGGACCGATATATCTTCGGTTTCGAGACTCCCATCTTGCAAACCTATCGCAGCTCTTTGGTTAACACCTGAAGCCAAGTTTCATACACCATTCGGTTCGCCTCGAAACGTAGAATAAAAGTATGAATCGCTTTTTTTGAAATTCCTTTCCGCTGCTGAAAAAATTCATTTTTGCTCAATTAGAGGCAAAAAAGTCAGAATACTGCTCGTAATTCTCAGTTTTCTCCATCAGACACCAACTTTTATGCAATAGAAATATCAGTATCAAAAACTGAGTCGACTAACGCGTTCCTCTATCATATCCGACTACCTTAGTTTTTTTTAAGTTTCTTTCCAACGAATTATTTTTGCTGTTTAAATTCTTCAATTCCTTTTGTTTGTTCTGAAAAAAATCCATAGATTTCTATGTCTGTTTTCAGAGAACCGAACTGGTTCTCCACAGATCTTCTGAGAAAAATTTAACACCTCTCTCCCAGTCTCACTGGTGTTGCTCTAATTTAGTTACCTCCCAAAAAGACATGACTATTACTAACTATACACACTTGAAGTATTAGTAGTTTGTAGTAGTTCGGAGAAACTGACCGAAATGTTTTATGCGCTTAAACATTTTCAACGGATTGACTCTTTTTACCCCAAAGAATAAAATTTAAAAAATGACACGTTCTATTGTGGTCTAATTAGCTTATTGAAGGTAACAGATATGAAGATCAATATCATATGGTAGAGTAGAGCTTCACAATGATATAATTTTTAATTAATTAGCATTCATCGTTAATGAGCTACGATGATTTTAAAAAATCTCCATGTATTTGAATAGAGTGACTCCTTTTATCCTATCGACATAAGTGAGCTGACTCCTTTTACCCCGTGTGAAGTAAAAAGAGTCAATCACAATCACTCGACTCCCGTTTGAAAATATCTGGAAAACCAAGATGAATTTTCAAGAAATTTTTGTACTCTTGTATAGATAATTGCCGGCTTTACCATCGTGGTGAATACCGAACTTTTTCAGTTCAAAACGGATAAGAAATAGTGAAATTACGACGAAAATTTCGTGAACTGACTCTATTTAACCCACAGTACCCTATAGTTTAACTCACGAGAGAAGGCCACCAACTGTCTAATTGTTTTTTTAATGAAATCTACCTGTAGTTAGTCGATCATGCTGATTCCAAATGTTCATTGTTAGCTCAAAGCTACTGAAATGAAAAGAAATTAAATTAGGGCTTTTCTTGTAAATTCTATAACTTTGGAAAGAAAGGTCGTGTAGAGCTTGGAGATATCTCATTTTAATCAGAAATTTGCGGTCTACAATCGTGTCTCATTAAGAAAAGTTTTGGTTATTTTTTAGAGTTTCTGAAAAACTGGTTTTCCAGAAAACCTATGGAGGCCTATAGGTCCGTCTCATATTGATATTCGGAATCAGCATGGTCGATTACCTACAACCCAGTAGATTTCATTAAAAAAACGATTAGACAGTTGGTGGCCTTCCCTCGTCAGTTCATCCTTCAAACTTCAAAGAAAGGCATCTTTTTGATCTTTCTTCCTTCTTCGCTCATATAGAAGTGAACAGAGAAAACGAGAAAAGAACAAATTTTATAGTTTTATATGCCCAATCAATTAGTCTATGCCCGCGAAGAATGGTGTCCACTTCAATTTTTACACCATAAGCTTATGGTATAAAATTAACTAAACAGTAGTTTTTGGCTTTTGCGGTGGATCGAAAGCTATCTAAATAATAGAAAAATAGTAACAATCATCGAGGGTCAGTCATCTGACTCCCTCTTCATTAACTGCGGTATTCCCCAAGGAAGAATTCTGGGCCCGCTTTTCCTCTTGGTCTATATAGATGATATTGGTAATAATTTCTCAAGCCGGATACATATGTTTGCTGATGATACTGCTATATTGTAGTGATTTAGACTCTCAAGTTGTAAACGTAACCCTAAATGATGATTTGATTAAAATTTATCAGTGGTCCTTAAGATGGCTCTTACCTTTAAATCTTCCAACGTGCGTAACGATGAGTTCCTCTAACAGACTATCTGTAGGGTGATTAATGTTGGGAGGTTATACCATGGATTTGGTTCAGGAACATAAGCACTTGGGCTTGTGGTCCTCCTCATCTGTTTCTTGGAAAAGACATATTTCTTTTATCGTCAGAAAATGTAACTTAATTCTAGGAGCTTTAAACAAATTTAAGTGCATCTTTTTAACGCCGGTTCTTGATCAATTATATAAATCGTTTATATATTCATTATTGATATATGCCAGTGTTATTTATTCAGGTGAACCAGAAATAGTATTGAAACCGCTTTTCCAGCTTCAATATCGTGCAGCTCTGCTTGTTTCTGGATCGATGTATCTATCAAGTAGTGAAAAAGTTTTAGATATGCTAAGCTGACCTGATTCGAAAATAACGTTTGACATGAATAAACTTATTCGTTTCAGAGACATATTATCGGGCGATACGCCCGAATATTTGCGCGCATATATTAAAAAAACCAGTTCAATTCCTTATTCGCTTCGCAGTCGATCTGAGTTGAAACAACTGCACTTAAAGTCTGTACGTGCAGAGAAATCTTTTTTCTCTTGTACAACTGCTATATGAATTCATTGTCCGATACTGTAAAACTGAATCGTTTCCGAAAAAAAAAAAAAAACACAAAAACTTTACGACTGAACTAAAAATCTATTGTAATATTAATATATTTCATTATTGAACGTACGGTATTGATCGAACAGCAGATATCTCCTTCAACCGTTTGCGTGTGGACTTTCCACCACTAAATGCAAGCTTGTATACTAAAAAACTGAGTCTCACTAATCTTTGTACCTGCGATGATATTGTCAATGTTGATCATTATCTGCTACAGTGTGAGTTGTACCGATCGCAACGAAATAATCTCGAACAGAAACTCTCAACTTTGGACTTACCGCAACCCCTAAGAATTGCTCTTACTTAAAATTCGTCTCTCAAAAGAACAGTATTTGATATTTATGATATTATTGATATTTGCTGTAAATTTCAGGTCCGCAGAAGTTCATTTGCTAGAATTATGAACTTTTAATTGACTGGCGATTTTGGCTGGGAATGATAGAAAAATCCCTATAACTTTTGCAAGAAGCCAAAGGGGCCGCTAATATTTTAGGCTTTTTACTACCCTGCTATCCTCTATCGAATGATGTGCGAACGAACCGAATCGGAGTATATCACTTAAAAAAGTTCCCTCGTGAGTAGATTTTCTACTAGGTACAGGTCTTTATACGACTGATCTATGGTACAGATATGAACATATAAGATAAGTGCTGTCAAGATATATGTGTTGTCCCATTCAGAAATCTAAGGAAAAAAATCAGAAAAATGAACTGCAATTACACAATGGATTGTTAGGCATCTCTGAAATATTTACAGTAGATTTAAGGTGTTAGGAATTGGCTTTTGTCAAAACATCAATGATAAAATAACCTTTTCGATCTGTTAGA